CACTTAAATGCAGTAATCAATTAAATGTAGTTTGTTACTTTCCACCACTGCTAATTTATTATAGTGCCAGTTACTGGAAAATGTACGTAGTTACTATTGCATGATCCTCAAAAACATGTTAGTCCCAACAGTGATTATTTTACTTCTGTGCTGACCCTACGTATAAACGCACAGTATAAGCAAATTAAGATCAAAGTATGTTCCAGGACTAAATGTCTGACCGGAGGATTTCCAGTTTGCAGTGTGAACTCTCTAGTCCAGCAGACAGGAGTTTTACTCCTGAATCTTGCAGGTCGTTGTTGCTCAGGTCCAGTTCTCTCAAGCCTGATTTCTGTAAGCTGAGAACTGAGGTCAGAGCTTCACAACTTCTCTCTGACAGGTTGCAATCATTGAGCCTAGAAGACAGTGAGAAATAAAAACAGCTTAATTTTAAGAGACACTTTAAATGTTTAAATATTGTAGTAACTCAGTTAACAAAATACACTGATCTAAGACAGTTATAATGAGAGAACAATGAATGAGCCTGTGAAAGATAAAGTAATGTCAATTTTTCTGCCTTTTGCCAAGATTGATGTTTGAGACCAAATGACACTCAAGAACAAAACATACATTTTATATAAGTTAAATTAGATCATTTATTTTCATAAATATTCTGTGTAAGCTTTTATAGGTTTTCTGTTCTGTGTGTGATTGTGTGACATGCATCAAATACAATACACCTGGATTTAAAGGATTAATGGAAGACATGGCTTGAATTTTTTCCTCATCTTTTTTCTTCTTTCTGTTGCTCTACATCCTCCTTTTGGATCAAATTGGAAGTGCAGAGGTACTTGAAGTATTCAAGTACCAGCTTCTGAGATGTTAATGAGCTGCTTCCAGATGGAAAAAAAAAAAAACTTTTTATGGCTGCTATTGATATGCGTCCTACCAAAAATGAAAAGATATCGGTGGAAATCCTTTCAGCTGCACAACATCCAACATAGGTGGTAAAAAATAAAAATAAAAAAGAATGTTTTTTTTTTAATGATCCAGAAATCAATT